TTTGATGATGTGGATCACCAAGGAAGTTATGCCATACAGATGTTGTGTGGCACGAGGTATGAAGAGCATGTGGGATGCGGCTTGATTTAGTTGAAGTGGACTGACTGGTTTTCAAAGTGACTTGTGGAATAGGATAGAGTTCGTTAGAATAAGCCCCTTGAGTAGAACCTGTTGATTCAGCATATCCTTGATAACAAATTCAGACGTGTCAAATGAGATATTAAGATTATTATCTTTGATTAGATTTGAAATTTATAGAAGATTATGGAAAGTGTTAGGAATATGAAATAATTTATTTAAGTGAAGCTTACGTGAGGGTGTGGGTAATATATTGTAGTTGGTATGAGCTATGGATAGAGGCTTCCATTTCCAACTTGAACGTTGTCCGAGCCCTGATAGGGTGTGGGATTATTAAGCTTGTTGAGATCATTTGTGAGATTAGATGAGTCTCCTGAATCCATATATCAATCCATATTATTTTTTTCATTGGTCGCTACAAGCGCTTTGATCGTGTTTGAGTTAGCTGCGGGAATGTAGTTCATGTTCAATCTATGCTAGCATGCATTTGCTAGATGTCCCTTTTTGTTGCATATTTAGCAAGTAGGAAGAGGTGATTGGTGTGATTGCTATTGTCTATTATTTTTATGGTATGATCTCTCTCTTCCTCTTCTTCCAGGGCCTCTGTGTGAGTACAACGCTAAATTTGGGTCGGGTGAGGTTGTATTGCAAGATAACTCAGCTTGAATGTTAATCTCCTTGCTTATTAAGGAGGAATATAGATCTTCTAAGCTGATAGGAAAGCATTATTCTGATAGAAGTCTTGAACGCATTGTATGAAGGCGGGAGACCATTAAGAGTATACAAGATTATATCTTCTACGTTGATGTTTGATCTAGCTACAGATATTTTGTCCACGATGTTCTTGATTTCTATTAGATATTGAATCATGGTGAGATTCTTCATTGCTATGCTATGTAATTTATTTTTCAATTGAATCACACGTGATCTATTCGTGGCTTGTAGCCGCTTTTCGACTGTGGACCAAATCACTGAGCAAAATTCTAAATGTAACACATATGGTAGGATCGATAGTGTGATTGTTGAACATAGAGCTGCTTCCAAGTTCTGATCTATGAGGAGCCATTCGTTGTATTTTGGATTTGTGATGGTGATTTCATCCAATGTCTGTATCATGTGAGATAGTGGTTCTGCTGCCACGTCAAGAAAATGAGCAAATCTGTTTGCTCATAGCAATTTCATACCTGAGATCTCCATATTGCATAGTTGTCGCTTGACGATTGAGTTGGAACAATTGTCTTGATATTAGAAATCAAAAACTTGAGAAGCACTGGAACAATGTTGCCTTTGTTGGATACTTCCTCCACTGAATCTCTTATTTGTGAAGAAGATGATTGCACCATTGTTTCTCCTTGTCAGGTTCTTGAACCTTCTCTGATACCATAAACAACTTTACTTCACAGAGAGTTTTTTTTTTTTGAAGAAAACAAATACAAAGATTTCTCATTATAGAATTGTATATTTCTTGTTTACAATATCTTACATGTATTTATAATACTCTTGTAAGAGGAGCATGCAAACGTGTTTAAAATTGATTGGCATAGGTAGTTAGTTAGTTACATCTTGTGCATATTATTGCATCTATGTTTCTTGCTTTGCCTTTAAGAAGTCATTTTAGAAAGCAATACAAAGTTGTTTCATACGAAGCCTAAGTAGTGATCCTCTAATTTCTCAATCTCTAAATATGCAGTTTGTTAAGGTTTAAATTTAGAACTATTTACATATCTAACACATAAAATATTAATATTACATGCATACCACCCATATAACAAATTTGGGTACATGTAACGAAATATTAAAGTTTATAAGATGATATAAATGATACAAATGAATTATATTAGTGATATATTTGATATTAAAGTTGTATTTGAGCGGTAAACATCTAATATTGATGTTTTGGATGTTAGATATGTAAATAGTATTAAATAAAATGGTATGTATGCAAATTTCGCTTAAATTTATTGTCAACTAAACATTTCTTAGAATTGAAATCATTTGAATTAAAGGGTTGCTTTTGAAAAAGAATCTTAGAAGTCTAAAATTATCTAACATAAGGTTGGTGGTGATGCGAGAGGATCACGGAGGATTTGACGCTCGACGGCGACAATACGCAGGAAGCTTTGAAGTAGTTTCCACGAGCAAAATAAAAGGGTCAAATTCCTTATCAGACAGCAAGAAAGTGTAGAGGATAAGAAACAGAGGCATTTTTTTATAGCATCGAATATTTATTTATTTATTTATTTACAAAATTAATGCCGACCTATATTCAATTGAAGTATAATAATTTAAATTTCGAGAAATAAAATAAAATTCTAATATAGTGAACGCGGCCGGAAACGCCTTGACGCTCCGTTTGGTGGCAAGATTTTAAAACAATCTATTAGTTTTGATTTAAATAATTTTTATAGTTTTATCGGATCTAAATTTGGGCAAATTATTGCATCTGGTCATCGGACGCGGAGAATAGTTTCAGACATCCAATAAAAATTTGCCACGTCACCTGCGCTTTTGACTTGCGCTTTAGTTGCGCTTAGTTGCACTTTAGTTGCGCTTTAACTGTGCTTTACCTGTGCTTTTGACTGCGCTTTGACCGGCGCTTTACATGCGTTTTACTTGCGCTTTTGAGGCGCTTAATTTAAAAATAATATTTTATTAATATCCGGACCTATCTCCGCGTCCGATGACCGGATGCAATAATTGGTTTATGTTGTTTTTACTGTTAAATATCATTAAAAAATGATTTTGAGATATGAAGGAACAAAATATTAATTTGGATATCAAGCGATAAATCTTAAGAAATATTGGTAGTTTCTGTAAAAGACTGTTTGGGTGGAAGTAAAATGGGTGTAAAATATTTCAAATGTAGGGTTGAAAATATTGTGTTTGGTTGAAATATAAAATAATGCAAAGTAAAATAAAGTAATTATAGTGAAAACTATTTTAGTTTTTTTTTTGGGTGAACTAAACTTACCTAATTTTGAACGAGAACAGTTTACAACGCAAACAAGTTCACTTAACCCCTGCCACCCTTGCTGCCCACCATCGTTGGTCGCCTCCAGCCACCACTTATTGCCACTCATTGCCACAAGTCGCCACCCATCCCCGCCGCCATCCACCACCACAATCACCAATCACCACCACCGCTGACCATTACAGTCGCCAACCACCTTTGGTCACCGCCACTTGCCGCCGACCACCATCTTGGGACTTTAAACTGCAGTAATTTACTTCAAGCCAAATGAAAAAAAAAAATATATTCACTCGCAAATGCATTTACTTTATACTCATCTTATAACTTCAAAATATTCCTTTTACCCTAGCAATTTTTTTTTCAAAATTATATGGTTGAAATTCTTAAGTTGAAAAATTATTTAAATTCTTAAGTTTTTTTTTTCAAAATTTTCGAATTAATTCATGTAAAAATTTTAAATTCAAATCAATTAAAAATATGGAAGAACATCTAAGTAGGGGCGGATACAGCTTCTTTTTTTAGGGTGGACAAAAAAAATTTTTGCTACTATATAAATGATTTAATCTTTTGATACTATGGCTCGGCTCAGAAGCTCGTTGAGCCACTCAATTAATTTAAAGTATATTTAAATTAGCATTATATAATACATTTTAAAATTCTTAGATTAATTCTAGATTAAAAATAAAATTATAAAAATAATTAAAATTTTAATTCTAAAACTAGGAAATCAAATTAAACTCAATAATCGAGTCAAGCTCGAACTTTCCAAATGAGCTCGAGCAATTTGTTTAGAGTTTGAATAATTTTTGGTCAATGATTGAAATTTTTATTGCATATGTTCTCAATCTTTATTTGAATTTGTTTGAACCTTATAGTTATTTGAGCCAATTTTGATCATAGGAGCCCTAAAAAAGCAGTCTACCGTCCAAATTATGAGAGTTTTATCTCAACAAAACTATCAAACATAATTAACATGTATACTTTCTTAGGCTCAGTTTGGAATAGTTTTTTACTACTTTTGGAAATAGTGTTTTAGTATAAAATTTTCAAATTGAAATTTTTTTTGTACTAAAAAGTTGTTGTAGAAGGTAGCAAAAAAGTCATTTCAAATGAAACATTGACTTCATTTGGGACAGCTAGGGATGTCAATTTTTGACCTGACCCGAAACCCGACCTGAACCCGACCCGAAAAAATCCGGGTTCGGGTCAACCCGAACCCGAAACGGGTCGGGTTCGGGTTGAACAAATCAATCCGTTTTAAAAATCGGGTCGGGTTCGGGTTGACACAGCAACCCGAAATTGACCCCAAATTGACCCGAAAGTGACACAGAAACTCATATTAGACCCGAAAACCCGAGATTGACCCGTTTTTTACCAAAAAAATTAATATTGACCCGATTTTGATATGAAAATTAGCAATTTTAGGTCAACTTCGGGTCATTCGTGTCGGGTCGGGCTGACCCGGACCCGAATCAGGTCGGGTTTGGGTCCAAAAACCTGACTCGTTTTTAAAAACGGGTCGGTTCGGGTTGACCCGAACAGTGCCGGGTCAGTTCCGGATTCGACCCGAACCCGACTTGCTGACCCGAATTGACACCCCTGGGGACAGCTTCTTTACTATTTTAAGAAGCAAATCGTTCCAAATGAAGCTTTAGGCTTTGTTTTAGATAAATTTCTTTATGCTTCTTAAAACAATTTTTTAGCATAAAATTCTTAATTTTTTACTAGAAGATGCTTTAAGGAGTAAGAAGTTAGTCTCAAACGAAACTTCAATTTGAAACATCAATTTTTCTCCCCAAAAAATTGAACCAAATGATAATTCAAAAATTAAAAAAATTTAATTTTAAAATTATGAACGTATAATTAAATTTCACACCCCAGAAAATTATAAACGATATAGTTCGAAGATAAATAAATCCAAAAATTGGAACCAAACCGAATCTCGCTGACTGGAGCAGCTGCCGACAAGCTGCGTTAGTCAATTAAAGATGGATACGCTGGCCCAATCACGATCAAATGAAATCACCCGCAACGCCGGAATCCAAATACGTCCGCCCTCAACTGTTCCTCGCACCTCCTCTGACCCTCACCGCGTTCCCATTCCAACTCGACTGGGCGGGAGATCTCTTTCTGCACCCCGAGATCTGGAAATCTGATCTTAGCCGGTACGAAGATCCGGCGGGGAAGGCATCCTCCGGCCACCACCAGGTTTTACTTACTCTCTTTTCATAAACCAATGTTTGGATCTTTTTGTTTAGGAAGGCTTGTAGTAGCAGTGCATTAGCGGAAAGAGCAAGTGAGGGAGATGGTGATCGATTCTTCTTCTCTAGGAGAAATATCATTTTGAGCAATGGGTGAGGTTGAGAGGAGAGAAGTGAGTGGGGCATGGTAATGGAAGAGGGTAATTAAGGCGAGGCTTTATTTTTGATGTTGTTTTGATCTGATGTGAAAAACATAGGTTTTCCTACTGTATTATGGCGGCAAATTTTGGCTATTAAGCTCTTAATTCCTTTGTCCATTGTCGGCTAATACTGAAGTTTATTTTGGTATTTTGGGAAGCTGCAGAATGTTCGGTATGAGGAGGGTGAATCTTTCTTTCATTTCTTTGTTGGGGAAAACGGTCCAATGCCTATTTCAAAGGATCGTGCTATTTTTCTATGAGATACAGTCGTCATCATCATCATCAATGTGCTTTGCTCAGCTGTTTGGGGTTTTCTTTGGATTTATGCACTCCTGTACACTAGGATTTTTTGACTCAATAATTTTTCAGGATAAGTAGAAAATCCAAATTAGTTAATTTTTGGAATAAATCTTTGTTGATTCAAAAGATTACTAAAAATTATATATTTTATGCAAACATATTTTATTTTAAAATCCATCTCCGTATACTCATATTAGTAGGGGTCTAAAAAGCATTCATGGGATTATTGATAGTCGGGTGTGAATGGGAATTTTTATAGGATGATGATTGGGTTGAAATTAACTGATTCTTCTATTCTGTTCATGATTGAGAATGGAATCTTTAGGTTTATTTTGTCGCAGGAGGTGGGCACTAAGAGTTTTAGAATATATAAATAACCAACTTATAGAGAGATAAGCATGAATAGTGTAAGTGGTCAGCGGTCTTAGCCTAAATCCATAGTTCTGGGAAGAAAACCACTAAAAGCCTTAACCCCATCTTGATACAAGTCACTTCAACTCTCATCGTCACTTCTTTTGCGGTATTCAATTTCTTCCCAATTCCTCCTTTCGATATAAAGAAAAAACATAAATAAATACTCGGGTATTTGAGCATTGTGACTTTGTAGCTAACATGTTTGTAACTGCATAATGGGGATTCCAAAGAGGAGGTCATAATAGAGTGGAGTCGAGGGTGATATGACAAGCATCTAGAAAACCCCATCGGCCCCGAATCTCCTGGTCTGGATCGACCCAAATGTTGTCAATTAGATCATGTTAAAATGCAGACAATCTTGATTGAGTATGAGAACTGAGGTGTCACATTTCCCTCTTTCATTTGGAGGGTTTCATTTATGGGGCTTTATTGAGTGAAGTAGCCCTCTTTCTAGCATTTTGATCAATTTCTCTAGTTGGGTATGGTTGGAGCAATTACAAAGAGAAGTTTTGGTAAATTTGAGCTATCAGTGAGGATGAGACAAAAGCCTTGGAGAGGGTGGGGCAAGAGCAATGATAGATGAGGTAAAATTGAAGCTAGCAGTGGAGGTCATGTAGAGAGAGGAAGAGGATACAATAGAAGCTACTCATTAGGGAGAAGTGGTGATGATGAAAACTACTTAAGATTAGGTCACCTGAATTGAAGTGACTATGATGACACATCTAGAGAGGCGAGTTATCTAGGCTGCTTGGCTTGAGGAAGAGAGGATAGTGAAGGTCGTGACAAACAAGCTAGCCTCCAAGGAAGCAATCACGAAAGAGAGCATTCTTCTCACCCATAAGAGGAGAATAGAAAATAAGATGGAAAAAGTAGTAAAGCTTGCACGACCATTACCAAATTGTGCCAGCATTAGCAAGGGAGGTTGAAGGTGAGGTTGCGTCCATAAAGCAATGAGGTGGTGATCCAACTCGATCCCAACATGTGTATCTGGATGGAACTGTGGTGGAGTGGTTGAATCATGAGGTTTTTGGAGAGGATATTCCCTTGGAGGAATTGCTTAAGGTTCAACTCCATCGAGTTTCTCCATAGTGTATGCTCATATTGAGCAAGTTTAAAAGAAGAGCTTGGATACATGTTCGAGGATGTCTTATATTAGGATGATTGACCTCAAGTGGAGCAACATCGAGAGGACACATGCTTTAATACCATCAAGGAGTTGTCAAGCTGGTCCTAGACCTGCATAGTGAAAGCAAAGTTCTGACGGATATTGCTATAGGGTTGAGCCAAACCATATGTTCGATGGATGCCAAATGTAGGGTTATACGACATATTTTGAAGATCATAAGGCCATTTTTGACAAATAGTCTTTTCATATGCAAAGCTGCGATATTCAGGAGGGTTATACACCTGAGGAGAGCATCATGTCACATTTCTCGAACTCAATGGGGTCACTAATGGAGCTGGGCATCTGGGACATAAGAATGCTAATCACCAAAGAAACTAATAAGGGTGTTGGGAAGTAAATCTTGGATGAAATACACGAGAAAAAAGAAAATGCTATGAAGAAGAAAGAACATCTGGAGTTCACGTAATCCGAAATCGGATAAAAACCACGAAGTCACACCACATCAAAAATCCATTATGAAAATGAGAGAAATTATACATATCTCTCTTCTCACACTTTCTCATTGTCTCTATTCTCTTCTCACACCGTGCTAAGGGATTACTAATTACAAGAACGTTGAAGGAGTTTACCTTGAATCATGATAGAAGAAATCATCATGAGAGGTTCAATGGCATAACTTCTATTGCAAAACGAAAGAGTATATGAAGGGGAATTTTAAAGATTTGGAGTAATGTGTGACTACCATAAGAAAAATAAGTTGCTAGATATTAATATTGCTGAATATTGGTAGGGTGCAGATCTAAGTGGTGCTCTTTTGGTGATTACTTGAGATAGATGTAATGATTAGTCTATTTTGGATTCAACTTGTTCATACTGTATGTGTCCTTAGAAGAAGCTTTTTTTAAAAAAAAAAATTTACCAGCCATGTACTAGTGGTTAAATTTACATGAGAATTAATGCAGCGTGTAAGACAATTACTTCTAATAATGTGAATTTGATGATGCATGAAATTTTGAGTTGGACATTAACTAAAGTTAGGCCTGCACCAGATCTTAAGAAGAATATTACATTTTAGAATGCTCTCAATGAAACAGGAGGCATGTTATTAGGAGATACTAAAATTCTTAAGGTTTCCATTATTTTTCACAAAAGTGAATAGAGTTGGTATGCTTTATGTGCTATGAAGTGGAACTTTAAGTGAAGTTACTTCAAATTCATAATTTGTGTTAGAGCACTGTGATTTCAGAAAGCATGAAAATGTTAGCTTCTTGGTTGCAGGTCCAATTTTAAGATAAAGGTGGGCACAAGTTAAAGGGCAGATTATTGGAGATGATTAGATCGATTAATCTTTTATTGTGTAGTTTATCTTAATGTAAGATCATGCCATTGTAAATTGAGAGTAAAGAGACAACTGCTTTGATGGTTTAAATATTCATTTAGGTGAACTTCGATTGCAACATATGAGCTTCAGAAGTCTTTTCTGGATATGAAATTCAGGAACCATTATGGCTTCGTTGAATTGCTTGGTGTTAGCTCTTTAGAGCTTTGAGAGGTTGAGGTGCTTTGGTTTTGAGATGTGACATCTCAATTTTGAAGAGGGTAGTCAGAAGAGGGAGGATAGTGATTATTGGGGAAAATGGCTCGGACAAGGATCAACACTTAATGGGCTTTTGTTATGACATGCTTCTAGGGAAAAAGCTAGACTAAAATAGACATTACCTTGCATAACATGTGCTAGGTTATTTTAATTTTTATCAAAGCTAACCCTCCTCTAGTATGATGTGTGGTTCAAGGATAGATTAAGCTGAATTTAGCAGGCTCATAACATCTCGAATATGAGTAAGCTAGTCTAGAAAGGTTGGGGAGTGATTGCCAGGGTAGATGTCTTGGAAGAGTAGCAACTCTTGGCAGACTTCTAGGATGGTAGGATTCTAGAAGAAAAGGGGGTTTGGAATGAACTAAATCCACGTAGTGAAAATGTTAATGGGCTTTGAAAGTACCGTGTTAAACCAAATATATAAAGTGCCTTTTGTGGTGGTAGATGGAGCTTCTTTAGAAACCATACAATCAAGCTTGCTTGTGTTGGAGTACTCTCAAAATGGGTGACCTTTTCAAAATTGCACCAAGAATGGCACAACTGTGTTTTATTTGATATGGGATAGGCTAAACTAAAGCAAACAATACCTCACAAAGCATGGACTAGACTATTGTGGAGAGGAGTCATGAAGGAGATCTAAAACATATTACCACATTATTAAGTCAATGGAGGGATTTATATGGATTTTTTAGCTCAATAATTTGATAGTACAAATGAAAATTCAAATTAATAATTTTAGAAATAAATCTATGGGGTTGCTTGTTCTGTTGAAAAAGGAGTACAAATTAAAGTGAATGCAGTGTGAGTAAAAGTAATATATTGAAATGGTTTCCAATTATTTGTTGAGTGCGCTATAAGCGCAAGAGTTTAACTTTTTTTTTTGGGCTTAAAGTAAAGGAATGTTGTGCAGAAATAGTAGTGCACTTGAAACAATAGTTGATTAGAGGTGATAGATGGTGATGAAATTGTACAACGACAATGGCTATAGCTGTTGGTAGCCAGTGGTGGTCGATGATAGTTGGTGATGGGTGGGAAGCTAGAGGGGCGATTGGTGGCAATGACCCACTATAATCAACGATGCATGATGTTGGGTGGCGAATGTTAGTGGTGATTGGTAGTGGGTGGCAATGGTGGGTGATGGAAGACAATTGTCAGGTAAAGGTAGCTGGATGTGGCTAGCTTTGCTTCACATAAGTTGTGTATCTTGAATTTACTCAAATTGGATAAATTTCAAATACATTGAAAATAAACTAGAGGATGTATTTCAAACAGGTTGAAATTTTATATTGCATTTACTTTTCTTCCAACAAAATAATGGAATTTTCAAATCACATGCATTTCGAATGCAATACATTAGGAATACTTGTAATCAATCACCTCATAAATCTATTCTCATGTTTATTACAAATTATGTTCTTTTATTAAGTATTTTGTTTTTGAATAAAACTCTTTAAACTTTTATAGTTAGAAGACTAAAGGGAATGGGATTATAAATATATTTGGTGATATGCAGTGCATTGGGAGACATGCATAGGTGTGGGAATTTATGTCTAGTGATTGAAGCATGATGACTGAAAGCAGAGTGTATTTTTTTCCGGAAATGTAAGATGGTAATGTAATTAAAGAGATGAGAGAGAAAAATAAGAATAAGAATAAAACGAAGCATTTTTTATGATATGGAGTACTATTTTGACATGTGAAAACATAGTTGTGCTAGAAATTTTGTGATGATTCCATAGTCATGCAGGAATATACCCTTTCAAGGAATTTATATATTGATAATTTCCACTATTAGTTAAATCTTCTTTGTGTATTTTAACTTTTGTGTAATATTTTCTCTTTTGTTTGACTGCAGCAACGGTTTAGGGCCTCTCTTTTTGTTGTGATATTGGGTATTTTGGTTTGGGGATGGATATTTCTTGTGCTTCTTTTATTTTTACACTTACGTAGCTTCTCTAGAATGGATCAAATCTTCTCCTCTCATATTTTCGTCAAAACCACATGGGTTTCTTTTTGTGGTGCTCAGTTTCTTTTTGTTATTATTTTATGTATTCATTATATTTGTTTCTAGTAGGTGTTTCCATATAAAACAAATTAGGTTTTTGTTCAAACACACATGCCAGAGCCATTTTATTAATCGTTTACTGATCCTAATGAACTTTATTCTGTTTAATGAAAGTGCTTACGAGCATTATAATTTGTTATTGGCGTTACTGGTATTTTTATGTTTACATGAATCTTTCTTTTAGTCTTTATTACAGTATTTTTCTGTTGTTTCAATTTATATTCTCCGCTTGTAATGTGCAACTTGAACATATCAATGAGGATTGAGCATTCTTATGTTATGGTCAGCACCTTATGACATTGTTAATGAAGGAAATATTGAATGACGGAATCTTGCAGATTCATTGGACATAGAGCACTCGACATTGATCTATATATCTGTCTGCTTGGTTATGTTGCTTTTAGCGTAATATTTCATAACATAAGGAAATTCATTGTTGCCGTGTGCGACTTGAAGTGAAGCACCATGGGTTCAAGGTTTCCATCACATCAGCTGAGCAATGGCCTGTATGTTTCGGGTCGACCAGAGCAGCCAAAGGAAAAAGCCCCGACCATGAGTTCCACGGCCATACCTTACACAGGTGGGGATATTAAGAAATCTGGAGAACTTGGAAAAATGTTTGACATTCCTGTTGATAACACAAGACACAGGAAATCTGGGCCTATCACTAATGCTCCCACAAGGAATGGGTCCTTTGGAGGTGCTTCACTCCCGTCTCCACACCCCTACTTTCTCTCTCTCTCTTTCTGGTGACTTGTAATGCACTTGAAGGCTTAGTTTAGTTATATTTTTCTACTATATTTTCAGGTTCATCTGTTGTTGCTGGTGCTTCAGGTAGGCAGAGGTCCCATTCTGGTCCACTTAATAAACAGGGAGAACCAGTGAAGAAGTCTTCTGGGCCTCAAACTGGTGTTGCTCCTCTGTCTCGGCAAAATTCAGGCTCCCTTCCTCCAGTGCTCCCAACTACCGGGCTCATCACATCTGGCCCTATTTCCTCAGGTCCACTGACTTCTTCTGGAACTCCTCGGAAAGTATCTGGTCCTCTCGACTCCACTGGAGTGGCTAAGCTACAGAAAACATTCATTGCAAATAACCAAGCTATTACGAAGCTCAATCAGGAGGGAAACTATTCTTATAAGAAGAGCTTCCCCAAGAACTTGTTTTGGTCGGTGATCCTTCTTTTTTGGATGTGTTTCATTGCTGGGTGTATTTTCTTAGGACTCAAAATTACATTATTCTAGTTATTGTTGTGGTTATCTTTTCTTTTGTTGCAGCATTTCTTATCTGGAATCTTTTTTGCATCAGGAGAGCTGTTAAAGGATTTGTTGATCGATACCCAGATGCAGAACTTAGAACAGCAAAAGATGGTCAATATGTCAAGGTTTCAGGGGTATGAAATTGATGATTTTCAATGTTTGTTATATAGTTCTATATTTGCTTTGAGTGTGCTTGTTAATTCCCTTTCTTCAAGTTAGAGCTATTTACACTGAACTATTTTGCACTTTATACCTCTCACAATGTTGTTTTGAAAACCAACTGCTTCAAATGATGAGGAGATTAAAACCTATTGTTTATTTTCTGATGAAAGTTGCTGCTGCTGAACATGCAAGTTCAATATTTCAGCTACTAATCTCATGTGATATTATATCTTATCTTGTTGTTGGCTTATAAAAATGATTTACTTATGTTAATTCATTGGCTGTATCAGCATCTATAAGCTCTCGTTTATATGACCTATGTCAATCTTGAGTAATGTTTTGCTCAAACTATTGCAGGTTGTTACCTGTGGGAATGTTCCTCTTCAGTCATCTTTTCTGAACGTTCCTAGATGTGTGTACTCATCTACTTGTTTATATGAATATAGAGGTTGGGACTCAAAGGCTGCTAATTCTCAGCATCGGCGTTTTTCATGGGGATTAAGATTTGTAGAGGTATGCAATGCTGATATTTCCATAGAGATTATTTCATTTTGCATAATAGATTTTTGACGATTTGTCATATTGTCGCATAACTTCTAATTATTTGACAGAGGCATGTTGTCGACTTCTACATCTCTGATTTCCAGTCTGGGTTAAGAGCATTAGTCAAGACAGGTTATGGTGCAAGTGTGACACCATACGTTGATGAGTCGGTAGTTGCAGATGTGGATACTAGCAAAAGAGAAGTATCACCTGAATTTCTTAAGTGGTTGATGGAGAGGAACCTTTCAATTGATGGTCATGTGATGCATCTAAAAGAGGGGTAATTTCACATTTTATTTTTCTTAAGAGCCTATAATGCCGACTTGGGGCAATTGTTAGTTGTCTCAAGCGTATTTTAGAGGTGTTAATTGTGGATTATAGAAATAAAATCTATGCATATGCAAGGGCAAAGTTAAGTACATTGATCTCACTCCTGGCTCTGCATTAATGGGAGCTTTATGCACTGGGTATATTCTTTTTTATTTTGGTTAAGATTTTACGTTTTTTGCATAATGGAGAAAAGAATTTTCTTCCCTAGAAAGTAAATAGAAAGATATTTATCTAAAAAAACTGAGAGAATAAATTAGCAATCGCATACTTCTTATATATATATATATATATATATTGAATTTCTCCTCTTAGCTATTGTTTCCTTTTGCTTTGTCATTATATAAAGATTAAGATGAGGAACTGCCTGTATCTTTGCTTTTGCGTCTTTCAGAAAAGTCCCAAAAACATTCTAGATACTGTTAGAATACTTTCCTCTCCCCATAATGCTCGAGACTTGTGATTTGCTTTAATCATGTTGCAAGCAATATCGAGTATTTGATCCACCTTTATGCTATACAATACTGAATATGCATGGTCATGGCCTGCCGAAGGATCATTAATTTGTACGTTGTAATAGAATGGTGAACCCCAAAGCATATCAATACTCCTGCTATTAAGTCATTCGTTACACATTCATGATATTTATCTATCATGAATGGGTCATCTTTGAATGCTTTTTACCTCTGCAAGTTCATCATCTTTGAAAGTCCCTTAATGGTTTTCAGCGCCTAGCCCCTTTTCTGCCTTCCTAATTATTTTTCTCATCCCCACAACCCTTTGAATACTTGCTTTCAGGTTCTTTGACTTATATTTTTTGATATTAAATTTCAAACACAGGTAACATTGATCTATTTCTTGCTTTCATGCCTTCTACGATGGCCCTCTGCATCATTTTAGAGGAGGAAAGTAGGTTGTTAGGGAATATAGTTTGATATACCATGAGTTTTTAAAAACTAGTGAAAATGTTTAGTCCCACATTGTTGTGTTGGTAGAATGAGCTAGCCTATGAGGCTTACACAGACATGAGCTAGGCCAACCCTAATGAAAATTTGCATAGATCTTTACAGACAATTTTTCAAATGCCTTGGTCTGTTTTAATAATTTCTTTCCACTTAAAATTTTATATAACAGCAATATACTAGTATTAATTTTCAACATCATTAAAGTAAAGATGGATTTTGTTATACTTGTTGCGGCTAAACACTCCACCTTCAAGTTCAATTTTGTGCTAAACACTCCACCCGACAAGGTTTTGAAAATTCTGATAAAACTTCTTGTGATTGGGTAAGTGTTGATCATATTTGCAAAACTATTATTTTGAATGCATGTTTTAATGATATTTTTGATATGTATTATAAGTTAATTATGCTATTTATATATTGAATACTTTGGAAAAGAAATTTGTTCTTTGAAATGTTGGAACACAGAAATATGCACTTTGCATCTCTTTTGAGATTTCAAGTGGTTGATAGTTGATTCTAAAGAGATATTTCCTCAAGTTTATGAATTTCACTTTCTTATAAGTGAACTTCTTTACGAGGATATTAACCTTCTTTAACCTTTTCTTGCTGCTGATTTGGTATAAAAATTATTTGATTTTTAGAAAGAATACAACTAGGGGATGAAGATAAAAGAGAGGATACCACTTCAGAACAATGTATTGTGAACATTAGGATGTAAGAAAGAAATAAGAAGATAGAGGAATAAGAGAAGGCCATTGACTGATTTCAAATGCTAATTTGGTACCAGTGAATATTGGAATTACTACCATAAATGGAAACAATGAAAAGAAATATAATTATAAAAAGATGGGTAGCTATTTTGTTTACAGTAAACTAGGTCATTATAAGCTTAATGGAAGCATATGAAAGATAATTACAATTCGTCCAGGCAAACTCGGTAAATGCTAATTATACAATAGTTGATATGTGATATCTAAAGTGATCCCGATGGAAAAAAAATCAGGGTTGGTTGACTTTGGAGTAGCTAGGCTTATTTGAGCTTGCATGAGTCTTTCATTTTATTTTTAGTGCGAAGAAGATAAACTTTTCTTGGGAGATTCAAGGTAGACAAATGTTGCTAGAAAATTGAAGAGATTTAAGTCTATTACCAATTACTCATACTGGTAAAGTTTTATTGCCAACCCTCACCGTAAGCTTCACATGTCTTCTCTTCATATTGTTCCTAATCTAACTCATAACCTTCTCTCTGTAAACCGCCTCACACTGATAATTCTTGTTCTGTCATGTTTGACTCCGCTGGCTACAAAATCAAGGATCTGAAGACCAACCAAATTCTCCTTCACGGTCCATGTCATCGAGGCTTCTACCCCATATCTACTGATCCAGCTCGTGGCATACCCATCTCTGCTCTTTCCGTAGCATCCTCCAATACTTAACTGTGGCATCGATGCTTGGGCATCCTTCACATCAAATTCTTATTAAATTACCAAAATGAGCAAGCTCTACCATATTTTCTATTTCTAAAGCTTTTCATTGTAATGCTTGTGCACTTTCTAGAAGCCACAAGTTGCCCTTTTCCTCTTCTTCTTATAGATCAATTCCTGTTTTAGATTTGATATGTAATGATGTATGATGACCTTCCCCCACCTTATCGTTACATGATTTCAAATACTATGTTTTATTTGTAGACTATTTCTCCCGTTTCTCTTGGGTTTATCCTTTAAAGGCTAAATCAACTATTTTTTTTCTTTTCAATTTAAAGCATTGACTGAAAAACAATTCAATATACCTATAAAATGCCTGCGTTTAGACGGCGCTTTCTAGCACACAGTGGTGCTTTACATCAAGTAATTTGTCCCTATACATCGAAGCGAAACGGTGTTGCAGAGCGCAAGCATTGTCATATTCTTGAAATCACACGTGTCTTACTTCATGAAGCTAATTTACCACTAAAAATTTGGGTACATGCTATCCTCATTGCAGTCCACCTAATAAATCGTTCACAATCTCTTCTAATTAATCATCCTCTCCATTTCAATTTCTCTACTATCAAATTCTTGATTATTCTTTCAGAAGACATTTGGTTGTCTTTGCTATCCATTTCCACCTCACAATTTTCTCAATAAACTTCATTCAAAATCCTTACCATGTGTCTTCATAGGCTTTGCTCCCCATACTAAAGGTTATCAATGCTTTCACATTGACTCAGGAAAATTCTTCACTTACGTCATGTAAAGTCATTGAATCCATCTTTCCTTTCTCACAACAACCACCTCCTGATCTTCCTCCATCACCAATACCTCAGTCTTATACTCCATCCATGCGAGTACCATCTATTATTCAACCCTCTACCTGTCAAACTTGCAATGATTTTCCTCTTTGTTCACATACTAATAATTCAATCCCATGTTGATGGGGACATCAGAGCGTGAAAAGTCTATCAGAGACGTGGCCGTCGATCTACAGCCACGATTGAGCCGATTTATTTTCTTTATTATTATATCATGTTGTATTTGCTTTATTAGTGTTTATGTTTTTACCTTTTACTTAAGAAAGGTCGTTTGTAAGCATAGTGGGCGTTGTCGTCTTTTTATTTTCTTGAGTCTTTGTACAAGGCTATATATAGCCCCATTGTTCTCTTTTCATGTTAATGATTGAAGGATAAAAATTTTTCACATGTTTTGAGTTCTTATGAGAACTTGAGAGAGATCAGAGTGAGATCCCTAGGAGAGGGAGAATTGTGTATCGCCCACCAACCTAGAAGAGTCGGGTTCTTGGCCTTAATTTCTATCTCTTTCTCTTCCTCCTCCCACCACAACTGTCGGCACTATCTTCCCCTCTCCCACCCACAGTCCAAGCTCCACTTGAAACCTAGAACCACCGACCCTCCACCCACACCGAACCCCTCCTTCCCCCTCATCCACCGAAATCCCACACAAATCCCCACCACCCGCCTGCCCTATTCCCCTTGCTCTCCCTCCATAATTCAAATCCCCACCTTGAGCACCTTCCATAAATGATCCCCCTTAATTTGGGAAGGCTTAATGTCAATTTTCAATCTAATTTGAATTTGAAAATTTCTTTCCTAACTTAGGAAATCTATTTTAAGAAAGTTCCTAAATTAAACCTATTGGAATTTCAAGTTCAAATTGGATATAATTAAAACCTTTTCTAATTCTTAAACCCAAATTAAGAAATCTTAATTACCTTCCATTAAGCCCAATTAACTCCCCCATAGATGCCGACCCCTATAGGTTGGATTTGGGAAATTTATTTTCTAAATGCCCATCCCTCCTCTTTGGAAATAATTCAACTCTTTTCCCCTCTACCCCCTTTGGCCGGCCCCTTCTCTAGCCCCACCTCCTTAATTTATTTCCAATTAGAGAAGTTTTTTCATTGGAAAAAAATCAATCCCCTTCCACCCTTCATGCCCGCCGCCCCCCTCTCTCTTTTCTCTCTTCCTTTTAATTATTTTCAATCAAGAGGATAATTAGGAAGCGTTTGAATCATAATTCCCTCCACCTCCCCTCCCAAAATCTGAACCAAATCTCTTACCCTTGCTCTCATCATTGGCCGGCCACCGCCCTCCCCTTTCCCCGCTTGATATCTCAAGATTATCTCCTCTTTCTCAAGAGGAGTCTTCAAGGGGAGCATCGACGATCGTCTTCAACATCTCAACCTTCAAAGGCCATGCATGAGCGATCCATATATTGATTACGGTCTCGCCTACGACGAACTAGGGTTTGTTAGCATCCTTCACTCTACCTTCTTTGACGTCAATCTGAACATCGACAACACCGTCGAAGAGTACGTAGAGCGCATTCTGGACACCCTTGTCGAGGCCATAGAAGAACAACTTGGCACCGTTCAGTTGATGCTTGCAACCCTATCGTGATAAAGGTTTACCAATCTTCTTTCTCTCATATTTTCATTGTCTAACTTGTTCTTGTGATATGATTGATTCATGAAGGTCTTGTTCATCTATCTCTATCGAGCCTAGTAATCGTAGGACTTGAGTTTGATCTCTATGCTTTTAATCTCATTGTTAGCGTAGGGATTTTGTTTTAAAGCTATTTAATTTGCATTTTATTGATATTCTATATTATTTTGATAAATTAAGCATTTGGCAAGTGGTTTAGCCTAAGCGTAGGCACCCCTTTCTTATTTTATTTTATCGTTTTAAATTGCTAATAGCTTTAATCATACTTGTTCTTATCAAGGAATCATGCAAATTCTTATTGCATCCATTAAAAGCATCTTAGTTCTACATCACATGTCCTACAAGCTCTTCACCATCTTCCCATCCCTCTCCGTCGGCTCTTCCTACTACAACCCCACAATTACAAACATATTCCCGGTCTCCATATTCTGTTTCCACTCCTATTCCTCTTATCGAGTTTGCCTTACCTCCACTCCTACCCTTCATCCAATGGTCACATGGCTTCGGACCGGGGTGCTTAAACCTAATCATATCATCAGTATGAATGCTTCTCTTATACCTTATGATCCAACTTCTTATATCGAGGTTGTCAAACATATGGTTTGGCGCCAAGCCATGTTAGATGAATTTGCTGCTCTTCAACAACATGCAACTTGAAAATTGGTTCCTCCTAGCCCCACTTAAAAATGTCTTGGGATGCAAATGGATCCCCAAAACTAAATTAGAACTATTGCATGATATAAGGCTCTACTAGTGGCTCAAGGTTGCAGTCAACAATATGGTTTGGACTATCTTCATACATTTAGTCCTGTTGCCAAACTTTCTACTATTCACATTTTACTTACAGTTGCTAGTTCATTCAAATGGCAAATACTTCAACTTGATGTGTCAAATGCATTTCTATACGGGCAACTCAAAGATACGCTTTACATGGCTCAACCTCCAGGTTTTAAAGATTCCTTAAATCCTGATTATGTTCGTCTCTTACAAAAAATCTATGGTTTAAAACAATCCCCGAGACAATGGTTTGAGACATTTTCGACATACTTACTCAGTTAAGGATTCACACAGTACAGTTGACTCGTCTTTATTGATTTTTCACAAACAATCTATAGTTCGTCTTTATTGATTTTTCACAAACAATCTATAGTTCTATACATACTTATATATGTAAATAACATATAGCTTACAGGCAATGATGATCAAACAATCACTCATCTACTTGCGGGTCTCTCCATCCAGTTTCACATGAAAAACCTCGGTTGCATCTCATATTTTCTTGGCATGCAAGTAATACATTCAACAAATGGTTTGCATTTATCCCAATCAAAGTATGCATTTGATTTACTTCGTCGGGAGGGTATGGATGATTGCAAACTTATTTCTTCTCCTACCCCTTCCAAATTCATAGCTACTCCAGCAATTCCTCTTGCCTCTGCTTTAGCAGATGATTTTTGACATTTGGTTGGATTTCTACAATATTTAACAATCACTCGCCTGGACATTGCTTACATATGCACAACCCCACATGAGGATGATTTCAAACTACTCAAACGTCTCCTTCAATATATCAAAGGTACTTTATCGTTCAGTTTGTCGATTGCTGCCAGTGATCTACATTTGCATGCTTATTCCGATTCTCCTTTCTCGGAAACCTATGATGCACCAACACTTCTCCTCAAAGAGCCTTGCAGTGTTATATACGTATCTGACATAACACGCATCTGAGATGCCTCCAACACGTATCAGACACGTCGAAAACGTGTCCGATTAAAAAATATTTAATACAAATTTGGCGTGTGTCTAACACGCGTCTTAAACATTTTATGAGAAAATATTTAAATATAATTTTTTGTATTTAAAATTTTTATATATTTAAAATATAAACTAATTTTTTTATTACTTATCGATAACACCAAATCAATCGTCCGCACTCAATACCCGATTTATCGAATATTCTTATTTTCATTTCTCTTTGGCTGGTCGCAACTTTGGTTTCATGGCAATGCCCGACGTCATCTCAATATCGACGTCTGATGTTGCTACAACATTGATATTTCAAAATTATCTCAACATCAAAGTCTGACACTATCCTGGCATTGATGCTCAACACTAGTAATTTCTATACCCACAACTTAACAGTTCATCTTTGTTTGATGTCGTCTCAACATTGATAACCAACGCCCTCTCAACATCGACGACAAACGTCCTCTTGACATCGACTCCCAATACTTACTGCATAACATCGATGACTAATACACGACATCGATGCCCGACTTTCGACATCTTAATATTAATCATTTTAAGCACAAATTCTAGTTAAATGATTTATTATTTTTAATATTATACTTATTTAATTTTTGTACACTATTTTTTAATTATAAAAATTATAATATCATGTCCAACTATGTCTGTTTCCTATATTTTCAATAATTATCATGTCACGGTCCATGTTGTGTCATATTTGTTTTGCTGTGCCCGTGTCTGTGCATCATAGTCGACAACACACTCATTTTCTGGCAGGTCAAGAAACAGAAAACTGTAGCTCGCTCGTCCTCCGAAGCAGAGCACTGTGCACTTGCAATAGCTGTTACCAACATTGACTATCACAAGAATTTCAAATTCCTTCCTGCGCCCTTATGTATTTTTGCTTGTGATAACATATCCTCCATTGCACTTGCTAACAATCCAAATTTTCACGCTTGGACTAAACACATAAAGATAGATTTTCATTTCGTCAGAGAATGTATTAAGAACAATGTGCTCAAAATTTTACATGTTCATACCACTGATCAGTTAGCTGATTTGATCACAGCTGCAGGAATCAATGCAGAGCAGTGCAGTTCAACAGTTCATGTAGTTCTGTATTTATGGGTATTTTAAAGACAAGATCTTATGTTACCAAAAGCTAGTTATAAAGTTTAGTCCTATATCACCTATTAAAAAAAGAATTTTCTTCTTTATAACAGGTTGAAGGGTTCTCTTCTTTATAAAGGATGCCTATTGCTTGCATTAGTAGAATATACTAACTCTTGTGACTTACGGTGCATTCGATCTGAGCCAAGCGAAATTGAAATAAGCAAATCCAATCTGGAAATCAATTAATTCGGTGCATGTGCATGCATTTTCCCTGTGCAGGGAGGGGGTGCAAGTTCGTGTTTGGATGCCTTGGATTAACATAATTTTTCCATCTTTTTTCTTGCGATTTCTAATATTGTTGTTCAGAACTATTTCATCCATTCTGAAATGGTGAAATTTCAAATTATTGCAGTTGAGTAAAAAAACCTTTCTTCATAATTTGTTCAATTTCTTTCATTCATTCCAAAACAGATTCCATGTCCCATCCTTACTAAAAAAACCTCTCTTTATTCATTCTCTATGGCTTTTAAGTTGAGCAAAAAACCCATCTCTTCCTTTAAAAACTACTCTTCATTCATTAGAACATTACAAAAAAGAGCTTTTTTTGTTCCTGCACACGTTCAGTGCAGATCTGTGTTAGGAATCCATTGAATTCTAAAAGATAGGCTATTCTAATAAAATTTTCCCCTTAAACTCTTCGCACAATAGCAACATGTGTATTATTTAAAAAAAAAATGTAAGATCTCAGGGGGTCCAACCAATCAAAGTTGTGCTTGTTACGCCAATTATTAATTGAAAAACTAGCTTAGAACGGTCAATCACTCATATTTCTATACCAATACATTTTTTAATTATATCATGTGAGATTAAACTCAATACCTACAGATGTCTTAATAAATTTTTTTACTCAAATTGAATCTTCATGGCATCCTCCACCATACACAGGTGCTATAAGGTAACCGTTATTATTACTCGAGGCTTTATAAAAATTGGTTTGTTTCTTGTAGGTACGTCAAAGAGGGGAGCACAGTTAGTGTGATGGGAATTGTTCGCAGAAATCATAATATTCTGATGATTGTTCCTCCCTCCGAGCCTTTCTCCACAGGTTGTCAGTGGACGAGCTGCATACAACCAACGACCATTGAAGGCATCATTCTGAGATGTGATGACAGTTCAAGTACTGATGTTATACCAGTTTAGCAACATAGCACTTTTAAGGTTACCTCTTTTGCTCTTTTACTCTTTTACTCTGTTGTGTGCCTTTTGGAGAAAAAATGATTAGGATTTCCCATCAAAATTTAATTATGGTGAAATTTTAATTTTTAAATTTACTTTAAAATAAGTGTAATATATGAATAATAAGTCAACATTCATATTGCATTTATTTTAAAATAAATTCAAAAATTAAAAAAAATCCTGAGGATATCCTCACCCAATTTATTTTTATTTTTCTTTTAGCTGAGATAACCTCCTGTTTTATATGTTTCCAAGGGATTTGTAACAAAGCTTGAGAGGAAGGGATTCGGATCCTTTTTAATTAGCATGTTAACTGTACTGTTGTATTTGCTGTATCACAACCCTACGATTCATTTTGGATGGCTGGGATTTTATTGATCAAAAATTTTTTTTTTTACTTGAACTATTCTATTTTGATGGCTTCAATTTAAATGGCCTAAAGTGAATTGCAGGGTTATGATAGGATAGCTGTATCACCAGTGCAATGACTATGATAATTAGAGATGATCCTAATCCGAGAGGACACTTTTGACATCTTGTCTCTTTCTTTCCATATGAAGATTGATTGTTTGAGAGTTTTTATAGTTAAATGGTTGTATAATATTAAATTTGGTTAAAGGTTCGATATTATTTAAATAACATTGTGTAGTGCTTTTTATCAATGTAATAGGTTTGATTCCATTCTATTTTACTTGAAAGAATTCTGTTTGGTTTGATTCATTTGAAATGAAGTAAAAAGACTTTAGATATTAATATTATTTAAACTCTATCAATGTGGAAGATAATATAAAACTTAAAAACTCTATTATATGGTAATATGACGTAGCATTACAAAGCCAAATGATAAATCAAACAGCCCCTGATTTGTGTAATCAGTTCATCAAGCATTTGTGTACAGAAAGTACTTGCATATTTCATATGACAGTACTCAAAATATTTCACTTGGAACTTGACATTAAAAAGACTAATGACTATTATTTTTCTTTAGAATAATGTTTTTTTATTATTAGTATGAAAAGTATTGGAAAATAGTGAAGATGATTGTTTCACCATGCTTTTTGATTTTACCTATGGATCATTTTCTTAGATATCAAATGAATTGAATTGCATCATCAGGACAAAATAACATTAGTGAGAAAATGTAAAAAATTTGAGATCAACCTTTTTTGTTGATATGATTCAAATTCATTAAATTTATATTTTAAACAAAGTTGGATTCAAGTTTGTTTGTAGGTGACGCTCGATCTTAGTAGTGGACGAGTTTTGAGGTTTGTGAATTAAGAATTTATGTGAGAATGGGGAGAGAAGAAAAACTCTATTAATCTGCTAGCTCAAGTCTTTATATTAAATGCTAAAGATGATCATAAATGATTTTTCTCGCCTTTTATTTATAGTGATTCAATGACTGTAAGAAAGGCTACATCAATAAAGAAGTAAACAATACAATAATTAATGATCATTGGTGCAGACTACCTTAGAAGCGCGTCACACCTTAGTTAATTGGCATATGTTTCATGAAGGCACTTATTTGTGAGAGGTCTAGTGCACATAGAATCAGATTAGCAGTGATTAACTTTCGTCACTGGACCATATGATGAAATGATTATGTTGTAGTTATACTTGTGTAGATGTGTGTGTTTTGTAATTTTTTTCATTATTTTTTATTAGGTTTTTGCATGTATGAAGAGGTTCTTAAGCACTAGGTTTTGTACTATACGATCAACATCAAACTATACAATACATTTAGAATTATATGACTTAGCATGATCAATCGCCTATCAAAATATAGTGTTTGAAGTATAAAATATAATGCACAAACACTAGTATATTATGATTATAATATAATGTATTGGATAAGCTAGTTATAACTTACAGCAACTTGACCATATTTAAAGTTCTCATAAATGTCATTCCTTTATTATAAGCAAGTGTAGCCATCCAATTATGCTAAATACATGAAGTTGTACAACATAGTGTGATGCCTTTCGGCCACAGATCAAAATTTGAATTTCATGAAAATTATAAGAGAATTTGCCTAATTTTGCATAAAAAATATTAAGTTTTTGCACTTAAATAGGTGAACTGACATAAATCATAGGTTAAGAGTGTTACTGTGGGTCTTAAACTTATTAGGTGTTTAATAGGCTGTTAGGAGCCTTTCTCATCCATAAATACTCATATTGTGTATTAGAGCATGAGGCAATCAAAATTTAGATTGCAAGGGCCTTAGCTTATTGTGTTAGTGTGATTCTTAGAATCAAAATATAGAGATAAATAAATAGGGATATTTGGTAAGCGTGTTAGTGTGGGTCTTAGACTTTTTAGATGTTTAATAAGTCATTAGGTGCCCTTCTAATGCATAAAAACTCATAGAGTATTAGGGCAAGAGGCAGTCAAAATGTAGAAAACAAGGGCCTTAGTTTAGGCCACACATTAAAATTTGAATTTCATAAAATTATAAGAAAATCTTCCTAAGTTTGCATAAAAGACGATTAAACTTTTGTACTTGCATGGGTGAACTGACACAAATCAATAATTGGTAGTGAGGTTAAGAGTGTTATTATGGGTCTTAGACTTATTAGGTGATTAATAGGTTATTAGGAGCCGTTCTCGTCCATAAATACTCGTGTTATGTATAAAGGCATAAAGCAATCAAAATGTAGAATGCAAGAGCCTTGGTTCATTATGATACAAATAAATTTATTGGGTGGTTAGGTATGAGTATTATTGAGGGTCATAGACTTATTAGATGTTAAATAAGTCATTAGGTGCCCTTCTAATACATTAAAAACTCATATTGAGTACTATGGAAAGAGGCAATCAAAATGTAGAAAACAATGGCCTTAGTTTATGTCACACATCAATATTTGAAGTTTATAAAAATAATAATAAAATCCGTCTAGGGTGTACATGAATCGAGCCGGCTCGTGAGCCGGCTCAAACTCGACTTGATAACGACCCCGTGAGCCGAGCTTATCGAGCCTCGAGCTTGAGCTTAAACTCTTCTATTGAACAAGCTTTGTTGCGGGCTAGAATATTTGTGGTGATAGAGTTAGAAAATTTTCGTCTCAGCGTTGCATAGATATCTAGCACACAAACATAATGAAAAAGGAACACCAGGATTTTTACGTGGAAAACCTTGTAAAGGGAAAAATGATGGCGCCACGCCCAGTTGATAAGATTCCACTAGTGTTTGCTTAAGTTACAACTGGCTGACTCGTCCTTGAAATTAAGGACATTCAAATTACAACTTCCGAGTTGAAATTCAGTTACAAACAAATATTGAAATTCTGGCGACGTTGGGTGATCAGGCAGAACCCTTGCGTCACTTGAAGGTCGGGCAGAACTCCGGCGTCACTTGGAGTTCGGGAGGAACTACAACGTCACTTGAAGGTTGGGCGGAACTCCAATGCCACTTGGAGTTCGGGTGGAATTCCAACATCACTTGGAGTTCAGGAGGAACTCCGGCGCCACTTGGAGTTCGAGCGGAACTCCGACGTCACTTGGAGTTCGGGAGGACCTTCGGCGGTGGTCGAGGAGGAGTCTCTTCCTTCTCTTCTTTCTTCCCTTCTTGCTTCCTTGCTTAATTCCGGTGTCGGTCGGCTACCGGATGAAAGTCCGACGGTGGTCGAGGAGAAGCTTCTTCCTTCTCTTCCTTCTCTTCTTCCTTCTCTTCTCTTCATCTCTTCTTGCTTGAGTCTCCTTCTCCCCTTTTTCGGGTCCCCTTCTATGAGAAATGAGGGGTCTATTCATAATTTTCTGAGAGTGGCATGACCAGTTAATAAGAGGAAGATCAGGAGTAAATTGGGAGTGTTTTAAATAGACAGACGATGTTGAATCCTTTGATCATAGACTGTTTATTGGGCTTTTGAATGTCTTAATGATTTCAAAATTCGACGATCTTGGGCTTGTTGTATTTGTCTCGTCGAGCCGCTCTATTTGACTATAAGCATGTCATGTTTGGAAATCATTTGATAATCCAAATTAGGTTTGAACCTTCCAAAGATGCTTTGAGTCTTTGATTCAGACCCATTTGAACCGGATTGGGTCGAATTTGGTGTTGTTGCGTTCGTACTTCCAAGACATTCAGTTAGACTATAAGTTAGCTGAAATCAGAGTTCATATGATCTCCGAATTAATTTTTGAAGTTTCCAACTTCATTTTGCGTCGGGATTTGTGCTCGATCAAGATAATTTTTTGATGATATATCAAAGCTCAAGTTAGAGCATGATGAGGCTCGACTTGTAAGCTCACGAGCTAGCTCTTATTAGTTGTTAGGAATTAGAAAAATCCGGAAAAAAAAACACTTAATTAACTAAAGTTGCCTCTTTCAAGCAAAGGAGTAAATAACGCATCATATGTTGTAGCTTTTTCTATATATATATATATGAATGTATGTATAAGATGCTGTCATAGTCCCATGGAAAAAAAGCTACTGTTTTCAATAATTCCTCTAGCATGCTTTCTTCAAGACATCCTATCTAGAGAAAAAGTTGCAGAAATAGCAACACCTTTCTTCTTCTTCTCCGGCGCAATGATCACCACCCATTCTTATTACAACAACAACAACCTGGTGTGATGGCTCTACCTTTATTTTCACGAGCCGAGCTCGAGCATGTCCTTTGGCTGACGAGCTAAGCTCGAGTTCGGCTTGACTCATTTGCTCCTCTAAATCTGCCTAAGTTTGCATAAAAGATGATTAAACTTTTCACTTACATCGGTTAACTGACACAAATCAATGTAATTGATAGTTAGGTTAAGAGTGTTATGGTGGGTCTTAGACTTATTAGGTATTTAATAGGTTATTAAGAGCCTTTCTCATCCATAAATACTCATATTGTGTATTAGGACAAGGGCCAACCAAAATGAATAATGCTAGATCCTTGGCTCATTATGATACAAATACTTATCCTGGGTGATTAGCTAAGGGTGTTATTGATGGTCTTAGACTGATTCTCTGTTTAATAAATTATTAGCTGCCCTTCTAATACATAAATACTCATGTTGAGTATTATGGCAAGAGGCAATCTAAATGCAGAAAACAAGAGCCATAGTTCACTTTTTCATGTTGATTTTTATGATAAATGCATTAACTTACTCAGTTGACCTTTTAATAATTGGAGACCAGGATGACATGAAGATTTGACACTATTGTTTCGATATTGTTTAGATCCATACAAGAATTGGATAAACTTACATATTATTTCGTCTCATTTCAAGATAATACAAGAACCTAATTTGTTTTTCATAGGATCAAATGAGCTACCTAAACTCTCTTCACATTTTATAAAATAGCTTCCCCATATTACGTGGTGCTCCAAAACTTATTAGTATGGAATTTATGATCCCTGTCAATGTTCTACCTTTGCTCTCTTCTAATCCTATTGATTCAGGCAAATAAGCTGCTATGCTTGCATGCACTATACTACCGAGTTCACAATGTATACTAAGAAACCATACTTCATATTTCCATCTATTTGATCTAAGATCTTAAATTTTCTATTCAATTTATGCTTATTCTCAGCTTTCTATTTCATGAATTAAAATTAAGTTTTTTTTTTTTCTCGAAGTAAATACCCATAAGTGTATCAAGAAAAATCATTAATAAAGGCCATGTAATTTCTTTCATCACTTCTATAGTGTATCATGGATAGTAATTCTAATTTT